ATGAAACCTTTAAAATAATAACGGTAATAAGGAAACACAAATGTGGTTTAATGAAGGAAATATATACACAGCCACAAATTAAGAAGTCAGCCCTCTAGGACATTACATTCCTAATGCAAGTTGTTGAGCAGGCTCAACATAAATAGGTGCAAAATATACTCACCGGCTTAGAGACTTGAAGGATAGAAGCCCACATGTGATTCCCTACCAGTGAGTCTTCTACACACGTATACGTTTTACAACAGTAAATGTGAACTGGGCAAGACATACCTCCCCATGAGTTTCACCATAGGAGTTTTAAAGAGACAAGGCAAAAGTCCTGCATGACAGCAGCCTATCATATTTTTTCCATTACCTCCATTGGGTCCAGAATTTTACCAGCATCCCACGTGCATGCAAATACTATTTCATGTTACTTCATTATCGGGTGTTGGAATACTCTCTCAGGAGCCTCAGAAATACATCGCTCTGGTTTCCCATTCACYTTCACTCTGTATTTCATACAGAATATCCCCTTCCTACCATCAGTATCACTTTGGAAGCAGAATGTCGCTTAACTTGCACTTCCACACTGAGGTAAATGTGCGGATTAGTAAGTCACAAAGTAATACAGGTTCTAAATAAGAAATGAGGATCAGAATTTTCTTGCAGTTAGCTGACTTTTCAAAAGCATTTTCTTCTCTCAGTCTTTCTCCTCTGCACAGTCAGAGGCCAAACCGTTTATTTTACTGGCAATCCACCTTTATTGCTTGTGCTGGTTTTAATATTTCCATTCAAAGAACATACATATATTAAAAATGAAATATGGAATCCTATTAGGATTACAAATAGCTCCTCTTAAGGGGGATTGTAAAAGCATCCAGCATAGGCTGTCTTTTTTTCTTTCTTTTTTCTTTTTTTTTAAGTCTTAGGGCTTTTTTAAGATTTAGAGGGTATATATAYGTATTTTTAACATTTTAGGGCTGAAAAATGACCTCGCTACTGATGAATGGGGAGCTTTCACTTGACAGCGCAGAACAGCCTGTGTGATGGGTGTGTGCAGGATCCGCATTCCCATTAAAAAAGGGAAAATCCTGACCCTCCTGATTGCAGAGATAACTCACCGGACACGAGGTGATGCAACGATGGCTCTCCGGGCTCCTCCGCAGCTGTCTCCCCGCTGCTGCTCCTACTTTTCCCATGCTGTGGCGGAGTGGAGCTGAGGGGACAGGGCCGTCGCGCAGCCGCCACGGAGTCAGAGAGCACGAGCGATGCTTAGAATAAACACGTTGCTTGCACGTTGTCGCTTGAAGTGCTGCCAAGTTCCTTAACGTTAGCGCGCGTAAATCAGTAAATATCACGACGCCCGAGGCCCAAGCAGCTGGAATCCTGCAGCCGTTACCTGAAATCTTAACAGCCAAAAAAWWAAAWWWAAAAAAAAWAAAAAGAAACCATAAAATAAAGCTTCCCCTTTCCTTAAGGCATTGTGTAAAATCTCAGCAAATACAACCATAAAAGTGCTGCTCACATCAAGGAAAGCCCTCCTAATTATTTTTTTCTTTACTTCTCTCTTTTTACAGTCCTCTCAAATTTGGGGGCTTGGGGGGTCTTTCCTGAGGTTTCGAAACACGCTGCCTTGCCGGCACTGCGCCTAAGGAAGCAATAATTAATTCTAGAGGCAAATCCTGAAGTTATTCATGGCGGAGGAAGACTATGAAGAGGGGCGGTTCGGGGCCCAGCAGCAGGCAAGCAAACACGGGGAGCTGGGCAGGACGAAAYGGGCTCTCGTGGGTTTTGCTGCGACCCGCAGCGACACAGGAGGCAGCAGTGGGCTGGAGAAGGGACGTTCCTCTCCCGCCCTGCGGCTCCAAAAAGGTTTCTTGCGAGCACTTGAGAGGGAAAAATCCCCCCATCCTCTTATCCTGCAGCCAAGAGAAAAAGAGTTGAAAAAACCCCAACCCTTCTTGCTGCTGGAGGGGAGGATGTGAACGATGGCGCCCATCATTGACTGGTGTCCAGAGACAACAACCTGATATGAATTCCAGCACCATTCCGCTTCCCAGCAGCTGGATTTCTCACCAGGGTGGGTTGCTGGTTTTGGACACCTCCCCAATTTTTTCCTGTCTGTTAACAGTCTTCCACTAGCAAGTATTTGGAACGGCTGTAAAGCCTTTTTTTGTGGCGCAAGTTGCACGCGCCATTGCCCGAGTGCCGTTTCAGAAGCGCTGGCATTTCTGTGCGGGCTCTGTGCAGGTTTTGTCGTGGTCTCAGCAAGGGCTGCGTCTCCCGGGAGAACCTCAGGCAGCTYAGCCTCTCGAGGCGGAATGTGCACTGGACATGGAGGATGCATGAAAAATCTTCCGCAGTGTTAACCGGCTTTCTGCACTTGGCTTGCTCCGCAACTGGATGTGGGAGGACGTGGGGACCACTAACTTGTCATCTGTGAAACGAGGGTGAGAAACAAAGAAACTACGTGACTTGCCAAAGCTTATGCAGACAGCCAGGGCTAGGGCTCACGGATGAATCCAGAGACGGTCCAATACTATCCTTGCTCTCAATTCCTACATTAATCTTCTGTATTCTGAGTTTCTTTCTCCCTCCTCTTCTTTCTCCCAGTTCCCAGGCAGTCAGTGTTAGCTCACTTTAAGTGATACTCACTCCAGGAGAGTTTGGAAAACACCATCACAGCTTAGAATGGCCTAATCTGGCATGATTTAAAATTCAATTAAGCATAGGAAATATTTTTAGGAAAATGAGTGCATGAAAATGAGAAATTCAAGCTCTTTTCCAAGCCTCTAGGGAAAAGTAACTATCGCTCCCCTCTTTGATATAGGACAACAGCATTTACCTTGTTGGAACTGTGTTGTGGCTTGCAGGTTGCCTTCACAGTGCTAGGCAGACACTGCCACGGATACTGAAAACTGCACACCTTGTCACTGGGAGATATGACAGGCAAAGGGAAAACAAATCAGAAAAGCTGACCAACACAAACAGAAAGCACATCATTTTTTTTTTTCTTTTTTTTTACTTTTTAATGATAGTGGACATGAACTGCTTCAAGAATTACCTATAAAGCACCCAGGTGTAGAAAGGAGTACTGCCAGCTGAAGTGCAGGTCAGGTGGGGGAGTCAGAAAAGTTCTTTCTGCTAAGAACTGTAAGTGTTAACCTTGCCTGACCATCATAGATGGCACGGAGCGATGATCCTCATACCTCCATACCCCAGGAGATCGCTGGAGAGGAGCAGGCATTGCCTGGATCGACCAGCAACTAAAACTGGAGTGAACGGCACTTCCATTGGCTGCCCTCACAAGCTTCCCATTCCTCCTCCCAAATGCCACAAGAAACGAAATCCCAAAGCTCACCGAAGGGCTTTGGCGGGACTCTCATCAGAATGAAGCTGAACGGTCCAAACCAAAACCAAAGTCTATGTCTCTTCAGCAAACCTGAGCACTCATGACTCTTAGCTTGTGTTCTCATTTCCACAAATAGCTGAAGGAAGCATCCTATACATACTATATAGCATCCCTAGACATACTTAATAATTCCCACCATTTTCTTCATTACACACAAGAGCAGACTCAATGTAATTGTACAAGCAGCTTAGATGATAGCATCTCTTGTGGTAAGAGAAAAGACCACAGGCATATTTTCTAGGGTTTATGAGTTTAGGGGGAAAACAGAACGAAAGGCACTGACTCTGTTTCACTTGTTGAAAGTTGGTGACGTACTTTCCAAGGACTATATGTAAGCACACCCAGTTAGAAGGCTTGTTTCACAAATTTAAAATGAATCTTAAGGAAGGCTTATAGACTGCAGTGGTACCATCGCTGTCTGTCACTGACTGGGCTCCACCAGGACCATCAGGGTCTTGACCAAGTAGTAACTGATCGGCACAAACTCTGCTGCAGACTTTTAGACCTTGGATTAGTGAGTTTTCAACTACTGTCCAGAGCTTTCTGCATTCAGAAATTGCTTCTGAAGCATCTAAGGAAATTCTGAAAAGCAATTTTATTGGCAGGAAACTTATGTTTGCTACGGTAGAAAAAAAAAAAGTCAGCAGACTCAAAGATTGAAAACCAATGCCTCAGACAGGGAAAGTAAATTTTTCACCCTTATTGAGGTGTTCATGCATTCTACTTTCCAGTTCTTCACGTACTCCCAAAAAACATGGTATTTACATTGAGTATGCCAATCTGAAATTTTTACTTGTCCTGCAGAGCTGCTTTTCACATAACCTAGGGTGAGAGCCTGAGATCTTTTTCTTTTTTTTTTTTTTTTTCCCATTTGAGGTTTTCCAGGACTTGTATTAATATCTTGCACTATAAATTGCTTAGAATAAGGCTCCTACATCTGACAAGTTGCCTTGCAGGCCAGGACACAATTGTTGACTTCTGTAACATTACAGAATGTGGGCATATTGTATCYTGCTTGAAATTTAAATGTTAGCATATGGCTCAAATACAGTAACATCTGAAATATTCAAGAAGTGAAGCTTTTCCTATTAAAGTCCAGGAAAATATTACAGTGGGATGAAGCCTGTGTTGTGCCCTCCCTCACACCATCTTCCCTTCCAGGGCAGACTGATTTACTAGAGAAAATAGGCAAAATAAGCAGCACAGGTGCTAGAAAAATTATCAAGTTACTTGGTTTGGCACTCCAGCTTGATTTCATAAGGTGCGTTTAAGAAAAGAATCACTGCAAGACACTGAAATGGCAGACAGGACATTCACAATTTATTTATTTTTTTCAGTAATCARGAGATAAGGGTAGCAAAAAGCCTGGTCTTAATGCAGATTAGAAGACTAGTGCAAATCCGGGAAAGGAGACTGCAGGAACCGAGTGAAAACAAGACGCCCGTCTGTTTCAGCCCACTCATTCCTTGGTGATTAACTCAGCATTTGTAACACCAAACCTCCTCAGAAATAAAAAGTGCATTAGTTGAACAATTCTGACTCCAAACAGCTATCACAGCTACTCCGAGTAGATTTATTAACACATAAGCGCATTAATGGACCGCACGATTTTTTTCCTTTGGCTGTCTAGATTCCATCTGATAATTTATAGCTTCCTTTTATAATCACAAAACAAATAGTTAGGAGAACATTTCAACAGCAGCGTAGAACAGACCTACAGGCTTCACGGTATTGCACTGACCCTCAGCTAATGGCAAAACACAGCAGCTTTTCTGTGGCCCTTCAGTGGGTCCTTAATGAAGGAAGTGTCAGAGGGTGAATTTTAAAGACTCCTCTCTTTATTCTTTTGTGCTTTCAACATTAACAGCAAAAGTCTTTCCTTTTACAAGTACGGTATATGTGGTATCGCCACTGGTGTGTCAAAATGGCTTTCCTCTCTCTATACCCAAGCATGCAGTTATACATTTGCTGATTTTAAATTTCAGAGTTGGAGTCAGCGTTTTCGCTTTTTACGGGCAAATAAAATTGCCTGCCAGAGGATTCTGACTTAAAATTCCAAACGGCAGATTACAGAAGGCCTCTTGATCATTCTTACCACATTTTTACCAAGTTACAGTATAAAATGGCTGTTCTACTAATTGCACAGGGATTTGCGTCCAATATCCAGATAGGCTACTAAAGCTGACTTTGTTTTTCCTTTGATCTTGCATATTCCACTGCTTGGAAAAAAAGAATGCAGACAGGTGATGGAAAATGCTGGGGTTGTTGCAAGTACAACTGCTGAAAGACCAATTAACAAGAAGAAAACAAAACGAGCAAGAAGCCAGAGTGGAACTAAACCCACAGCAGCTGGTGGTCATCAAGGCAGTTTTCCCAGTGGGCAAAAGACTGTTACTAATAGGATGGAAAAACAAAATTTGCTGAGACCAACTGTAATCACTGATGAGTTATACATTGAGAAGTGTCTCATTTCTCACATTTTCTATAGGGCAGCAATCTTTATTGTGACGAAAGCAGGAACTGAACTGCAGTTCTGCTAAGAGCTAGTACCAGAACCTGATTTTACAGTAGTGCTATTTTTGCTGTATTTTCAAAAGGATGTTCACTGATTCTAGCTGTAGAAATGAGCTATTCCTCAAAGTCTAATCAATGTAGAATGAATGTCAATTCATTAGGAATTGCTCACTCAAGACTCTCTTACATTTTAAATAGTTTAATTATTGTAGAACCCTCAACAATTAACCCAACTTTCATGTTTCCCCTTTACAACAACAGAAGTATTGAGATGTTTCAATCACATTACATAAACTTCAGCATTAACTTTTGTTAGTTCATCTAAAGCAAAATACACGTTGTTGCAGGAGACAAATACTTATTGCCTTGCTTCCAACCAGTGAATGTCAGAAAATCGTGTACAGAATAAATGCAACCTCCTCAGGGCTAGGAACACGTTTGTACATAAGGTGTGTGGCCAACTGCATTCACAGTGGTAACTCTACCTACAAAACTGGTGTCAATACTGAACAAATGCATATGCAAAAGCCCTTATATGACACTATACTGAAGGAATGGTCAGTATTAGACATTTTCAGACACTGAAAAGTCAGGACAGTCTGAACTATCTAAACTATGACTAAGGAATACATACTGAAAAGTGGAAAATGTATTTTTATTCAGTTCTAATTCCCTTCCAACTCATCCAGAGAAATCTAAAAGTGAGGGACTCTGAGAAGCACTGTTTGAAAACATGTGTTACCACACATTTATTGATATTTAAAGCAGGTAATGCAACACTGCCAAGTGGAACAATTTAACACTCTGCCCACGCATTTGTTTTAGATGGGGATCTTTCAGTGCCTTGGTGACGGTCTTCCAGAAGATGGCTGAGGCTGCCTGAATTTGGAGAGAAGCACATTGGAATCTGCAAAGGTGTAGATGTCGTAGTCATGATGCTGAAGGTTCTTGTAGGTAGAGCTATCGAACTCCTCTGGCGCGGGCTGGGCAGCCGCCGGGGCCTCTGAAAAACAAGCACACAGAGAGCGACTGGTGACACTCAGGATGCCACAACAGACAGCGATACTCTTAATCACCGAGTCATCCACCAGCCAATCAACATTAACAAATACATGAATAAAAGGTCAGCAACTACAGCACACGGGCGAGTTTGCTAAACTCTGCTGGTGTCTTGGCTCTGAGGAAGCACATCAGTAACCAGCAGGGGAGGAGAATTCAGTACAAATCAAGTTCTACAGCACCGTTTTCAAACCCAAACTACAGATAATGCTGGGGRTGGGGAGAGATTTCATTTATTCTGTGACGAAATAAGTCTGCATTTCCTGGCTTTCTTAGAGATGCCTTGGTTTTCACTTTGGCTGGATCAGTAGGTGACACTCTTGGCAAACCAGGAGGGGCAAAGCAGCCGTACAAATGATGTATCATCTTGTCAGGCCACAAGGTACAGCAATTAGAAGTACTTTACAAAGTGATTTTTTTTTCATGGGGATAAGCAATGGAATTACTGAGATCTTCACTGCTGAATTTCAAATGTGATCATATTCAACAATAATGTATCGAGAGCCTTTGATGTAGATTTCCCTTCCTTTTTGAAAAGCTCATTCTAATACAATCTTCCAAACTTTTGATCAGCCATTCTTCCCAGAGAATAATCCTAATAAAGTTATTCAGAACTTTTTACTTCACATTAAAGCCAACACTAATTCTTATGCTTTTAGAATATTATGCAAATTTAGGCAATACCATTTACCTAAAGAGTTTCTGGGATGGGCTGACTTTACTACCATGTAAATGGCAAGAAACAAAGCTTTATTTCCAATATTAATTTATTCTTATATACTCAGAGTTATAAAGATAGGGAAGTCATAAGCATAATATAGCAAAATGCTTGTCATATGAATTTGTTTATAGTGATCTGTATTAGATATTATGAACCTTTTTGTAATACAACAGTCTGCAATAAAAATACATCAGCTCCAGCAACAGAACACTAGAATTTCCCTTTAATTATGATATAATTATTGCAATGCAATTCTGTCAGCTTAAGAGCATGCATTCATAACGTTCAGCAAGACTCACCTATAAAATGCAATAATAAGCCACAGTTTGGGAAAAAAAAATCACACATTGAACCTGTGAAAGGAAATATCCCTGTGCCTTCTGCTCGGTTCCTACTGACACAGCCCACGGGAGACAGGGCTGCACACACATCAACCAGATGATGGGGTCTTTGCTGCAAACAGCCCCAAGAACAAGCACGCGTAGGAAAGCCAACGTTCAACCTGCCAGAGACAGTTGTTCCAAATTAAAAGGCAGATGCTCAGGAAGMAAAGCAGATGGAGCCTCTTTTTTACTGCCCAAATTCACTGTACTTGGCTTTGCAAAGGAAAAAATTATTCCTGCGTTCGCTCCCCTCATACTGCAGACTTCATCTGCACTTTCTCTCTTTATGAGCCAGAATTTCACAGGATGTTCTTGAAAAATGAATCAGAGGTATATTTTTGAGTTAGCATGCTTCTATTTGGCTGCTTATTTGGCAGTTACAGACAAATTCAGTTTTTGCTGACAGCTCAGGAAGGCTGCATTACAAAGTGGATGACATTACCTTTACTTTCAGCTTTACAATAGGAAAAAAAAATGACTTTATGTCTTTGGTAAGAAGACCTAACTTTGCTGCAGAAGTTTCAGATAAGCTAAATGCAGGAACATTAGCACAGAATACCAAAAAGATCATTATTAAGCACGGAAAGCAGTAGCTGGTCTCAGAAAGGCCTCAAGAGGAAAGCAGAACAAGCTACTCCTGAGGGTACCAGTGAAGCTGCTGAACACCCTGCTGGGCCAGGTTCCACCCTTGGCTGCCCTCTGACATGCACCCATTTGGCTGGCAGTGGAGGAGTGACCTTGCCTGTACTGGCCTCCGCTCATCAACAGAAAGAGCTTTGTGGCACAGCAGGGTCTACCTAAAGGGTTTTGCTCATGTGGTTGTGCTCACGATGGGTGGTCAATATAATCTGTTAGAAAAAAAAATGCCACGTGGGCTTAATCTACAGAATACACGAGAAGAGCAGCTTCTGTTCCACAGACCTACAAATTGTCATAATCACAGAATCACAGAATATTTAAGGTTGGAAGGGGCCTCTAGAGATCATCCAGTCCAACCTTCCTGCTCCAGCAGGGACACCCAGAGCACGGGGCACAGGGCGGCATCCAGGCRGGTTKGGAAGATCTCCARAGTAGGAGACTCCACAGCCTCCCTGGGCAGCCTGTGCCAGGGCTCTGGCACCCTMACAGKRAAGAAGTTGCTCCTCACCTGGAGATGGAACTTCCTGTGCTCCAGCTCGKGGCCATTACCCCTCGTCCTGTCGCTGGCCACCAGGGAAAACAGCCTGTCCCCTTCCTCCCTGCATTCTCCCTTCCTGAACTTATACACATYAATCAGATCCCCTCTCAGCCTTCTCTTCTCCATAATCTTCACCTTGAATCACCAGCACGTTTTAGGGGCAAGTCCTCCCTCCCTTTTCCATACTGCAGGCTAACCAAACGCATTCCTTTGCTTTTCCTTTCTGCTCCAAAACCCCCAATGCTTGAGCATCTGGAGCTTCACTGTGGATGAAGGGGGAGAAAAGCATCATCTGTGAATAACTACAAATAGCATTTCTCAATTTATTTTTAAGATTTCCTCTGTTGACCATAAGGAGGAGCGAGCAAATGGAAATGGTACTTGAAAGCAGTGCTGCATTTTACCACTTGATTGGGACCACGGAGGAAGCTAAGGCTGCTTTACAACTCTAAAAGAGGTCACGTTCTGATCTGAATAACCCTTTAAAACAAAAGACAGCTCTCTGATGCCTCGCTGTATCCTGGAAAATTAGTGCAAAAGCAATTATTTGTCATTTAACCTAGTTAGACTTTTAAAGAGTAATACCCAAACAGCTTTGTGGTTATGCTGCCTTTACTTCCAAGCAGGGCAAAATCTTGTAGTTCAAGGAAGCAATGAGAACAGCAGCCTGGAGAACAGTGTGCTGCCTGAGGCGAGAGCCAAGGACAGAAAGGCCCCATAGAGCAGCACAGAGAGGCGCTTGCTGATGCACCACACAGCGTGAAGCAGCGGGAACGTGGGAGAGGGCTTGCACAGGACTGCTTCACCAGCCATAAGCTAATGACTAAGACGGGTATGTTAGACTGGGAAATAGAGCTAGGGGGCACGAGGAGTCAATACAGTTCAAACAATTTAAAGCTATACCCTCTATTGTGGTGCTGTTTTCTCCAGCTTGGACTTCTGCTTCRTGAACGATCTCCTCCTTTGCTGGAGTGCTCGCCAGCAGCACTGTGCTTTCAGAAGTCACCTCTTGTAGTTTAGGAGCAGTAATTTCTTCTGCTTCAGACTTTTTCACCCCTTTTACCTTTTTTTCTTTCCCTCTGGATATCAGGTTTTGCTTTCTGACTTCCTGAGTCACTGACGGAGCTTTCAACTGCGCAGCTGCTGTTTTGGTTCCAAAGGACTTCTTCTCCAAATAACTGGATTTAAGAGTGACATCTGTCAGGTCTCGGCTTTCATCCTCCTGTGGTTCTAATACCAGTTTCCGCTGTTCTGCTTCTTTCGGAGCTGACTTTTTGCTAGGGTCTCTTGCTTTGGGTTTTAGTGTTTTATGACTGACCGATGCTTTAGAAAATTTGTCATGCTTGATATGTGAGGCATCAGTTTCTGTTCCGCATGGCTTCTTCTTAGCTACACACTCTTTGTGGTGTGCCTGGGGCAAGCTCTCTCTTGGTACTTTCCATACCTTCACTGGTACGTTCTTGGAAAAGGTAGAATCTTGTCTTGGAAACTCTGCTCTGGTTCTAATGGCAAGTTCTGGCTTATTATGGCCATCCTTCTCTTCTTCAGAATCTGAGCTAGAATCTGAATCCGAGCTGGATGAAGATGTTTCCTCCTCAGCTAACTCCTTCCTCAAACCTCCTTTTGTTTCAGTGAGTTTCTCCTCCTCAGAGGAGGACAGAACTGCTCGCTGAGGAAATGCAACCACGGTCTTTCTTGACATGAACACCCTCAGATCTTCGACAGAAAGTTCTGAAGCCTCCTTGAGCTTAGGACTAGATACGATCTCACCTTTGTTTGCAGATGCTGGGGAAGAACTAGAAGACAACATTTTAGGAATTTCAACTGTTGCTCTGGTGGCTAGCAGCTTGGTGCTTCCCTGTGGTGCCACTACATCTAGGAAATGGCATAAAGAGGATTAGCATCATTGTATTTGATATCCYTATTAATCAGGGTTTTTAGTCACACATTTTTAACTTTCTGACATGATCTGGTACAAAAAGCAAATCGAAAACCACTGTTATATTAAATACAAACATTATGAAATAGAAAGCTACATTTTTTGTACACGTATTAAAAAAAACAGAGCTCTCGTTAGCAGTGAGCACCCTTTGCCCCTGCAACGTTGAAACTCATGAGATATGGGTTTTGCTCCTTGCTTGGCCAGACTCCTTGTGAGAGCTGTTTGACTCAATCCTGCAGAAATTCTGGAACTGATTTGCAACTTTCTTGTCCCAGGTGAATGTTAAGATAACTCRTTAGCTAACCTCTTCACACACAAGTTTTAAGGTCTATGAGCAAGCCAGCAAAGCAGAAGACCTAGCAAACAGCCAAGAAAAACAGCCAGCCTCCTGCAGCAGTCGGCCTCCTAGGTGACAGGGGGAGGTAACTCCCAAGGGGCAAGTACTAGAGTAAGAGATACCTGATGTTGTCCACAAAAGTACTGTCTGTTCACATGCCCATGAGCTCTGTCATCTGAATCACGTCTAACAGTTTAATGCAATTTCCCAAAGAMCCGATCTCCTCTATTTTTCAGGATCTCCACTATGTTTTTGCTTTGACATCCATTCATCAAGAAGTCTTAGACGATCTTCTCATGCTGCAACTTTATTTCTTCTCCCTCATTACGATAAAATCTCCAGACAAGGGGCCATACGTGAAAAGAAAGCAACAACTTTCSAACACCTTCCTGGAGTATCGGGTGCCCCTTGGATGTCCATTTCTAGAGGTCCTCAGTAGCAGTAGGCTGATAACACTCATCATCATTAGAGATGACAAGGAGACACAAGTGACGAGGAGCACATTAAGAAGATRCATCACCACTGAACTCCAGCAAGGCTAACCCCCTAAGAAGTGAAGATGTTTCCACTTCACAGTAATTTGACAGACTTTCAGTCTATAAGGCAGAGTTCTGCCTGTACTACTAAGAACCCCACATCTATTTGACAAGGTAATAGTTTTTCCCCTCAATGCTGTTTTATAGTAATACCTCATACAGCCTAAAGMGTTTCTATAAGTAGTTCTGAAGATGAGTAAGTCTTTAACAATGTCCAAATGAAATCATTACAGAAAAGTCAGGAATGTAATGGTAAAAATAAGGTATTTAAGAAAGAAATAGAGTTCTTAAAACATACACAGAGCCRTTTCCTATGCAGGTAATTCTTTTGAAAGATTTCAGACACTTTTCTCCACTAGACTGCCGGTTAAAACACTGAGGCCAGGGAACAAAAATCTCTATCATAAAAACAAAATATAGCAGCAGCAGAGAGAATAGCAAGATCTTAAAAAGTACTGTTAGAGCTAGAGGCAAATGCTCCATACCCCTTCTTTCCATTAAGGAATGAGTTTGRCAGATGCTGAGAACCCCTGATTTGGACAACAGTAGCATATTGCAAATTAGTAGCAACTTGCATTTTTGAGAAACAGTGACTTTGATATATATTAATTAGGGAAGAGTTGGAGGGTGACGGTCACCTTTGAAGGAAGCCCAATGTCCTGCAGAGTTTGGCACAATCAAACATAGTAGCCTGTAAAAACTAACATTYGAGGAAAGATCACCCAAGACTGAAGAGTTCTTCAGTGCAAAGAAGTGCACAGGAAGGCCAAACTCATGCAATAATGCCCAGAGAGAAGGAAGACAAGTGAAACATGAGCAAAAGCTGGAGAAGTATTAATGCAAAGACATCCTAAGAAACCAAGAAAGCAGATAACACTCAATTTGAGCATTAACAGTAGAGGTTGCTAACAACTATTCCAAACAAGTCTTGGGATATGTGAAGAAGATACATTTTTCAGTTTTTAAGTAGATAATGTAATACTGCTAATCCAGACATTTTAACTGGACACTRAATTGGACAGCATGGCTGCATTCTGTACCGCAAGCTTTTTTCAGCTAGAGTATTTCAAACTTTGTACCACCTGATTTATACTGGGCTATTACAAAACTGAAGCGACTGCCAAAATAACAAAACATCCAAATCAGTAACAGAAGTATTTATTATTCCCAGAAGTAACTCAGAATAGAGTTGGCATGCTGGCATCGTTACTGGAATGACTTTAAAACACGTTCCCACTCAGAAAGGTGGTGTCCAGAAACTTCAGGTCTACCCCCATCACTGATTGCATTAGTAAACATGATCACTTTATCAGAACAAATAAAATTTTCACAAGCTGCCCCACCTAGAAGTTGGGGAGAAAAAAGAATACAGTCTGCAGCTTGTACAGGTGAAGTAACAGGTTAAGTAATCCTTTGCAGAGGGAGAAGGGAGAGCAAATGGTTTAAAGGGGTAGCCTAATAGGTCTTTTGACACGTTCTGAAATCAAACAGCTACTGAGCAAAGAATGTAGAAACTGCTGCTGAAGTAGCATGCTTACCAGTACCTCAAAATAGTGTATCAAATAGGCTGCCACAACCATCTGTTATTTGGTCAGTTTTATATCACTCCATGCAGCACAAGTTTTCTCCATGGAATCCACAAGCTTTTATTTGCCTTGATATTTAAGGAATTAACATGAGAAGCTAAAGTTTGCAATCGACCAGTTTTTCAGAGATCTTTTCGAAAGCTCTCAGCAAGTCCAGTTACTCTTACATGTGCTTCCACAGAGCTCTGCTGCTCTAGCACCTGGGTCTCTGATTCTGGAAGAGAATCTTAGTTTCTGTATCTATTTACTAATGGCACATTTTGCACATAATGGCCCACACATATACAAATTCATATATATATATATGCTCCCCCTTGGTCGGGGCAGAAATGGTTTGAGGGAACATAACCTTTGAATACACTTTAAAAAACAAAGCAAGGTCAGCTTGTAAATCTATGGGGCCATGAGCATGACAACTAAATTTAATCCAACAGGGCTGGCGTACTTTTCTGCAGCTTCTGAACTTTGCTGGCGGGATCAGATATGAGCATTTTGCAAATTTCTCTTCTTTCGCTATCTGTAAAGTGGGCTGCCTTTTGGCCCAGCAGCAGCAGAACATTTCAAAGGGTAAAGGGGACGCTGTGACACCTGAGAGCAAGTTTTGCACCGCTTTACAACAGGGCAACACGCCACCCTCATCGCTGTCAGACTCCTGTCAACTCACAAGGCCGCTTTCTGCTGGTACGGGTGTAAGGAAGGGCCCTGCTGAGGCCAGGGGCTGGGGGGGCCCAGGGCGCTGCTGCAGCCAGGGGCAGGGCAGGGAATGGCAGGGAAGGGAACGGCAGGGATGGGAATGGGGAGCTTACTCGTTTCGGGCCGAGCCGGGGGGCCGCCCGGCCTGGTGCAGAGCGGCGCGGCGCCGCCGAGCCCGCCGGCCTCCCGCCGCAGCGCCTGCGGAGACACCAAGGGCACACGGTCACGCTCGGCCGCGGCGCTCGGGGCAACAACCGCGGCTCGGGGGGCACAACCGTCACTTTGGGGGGAACGACCCCCACCGCCCCCCCCTTCCCCCCCCACTGGCCGCGCGTGCGCAGAAGCGGCACCGCCAGTGCTGTCCAAGCGCACCCGCGGCACAGCGGCCCGCCGAGGCGCTCGCGCATGCGCAGAGGCGCCCCGCGCCAACGGCCGCCGCGCAACGGCCACACGGGGCGGGCGCCAGAGGGAAGGTCACCGTGTCCGCGCGGCGGTGCCCCCTAACGGCGCCGCTGGGGGCTCGGGGCGGCGGCGGGGCTGCTCCCCGCCGCTCTGCCCGCGCCGCGCCGCGGGAGGGCCACCCCCAYGCCCGGTACCTGGCGGGCGGCCGCCCGGCCGCAGCCCAGCAGACAGGGAGCAGCCATCTTAGCGCCGTCCCCGCGGCGGGCGGCGCCTCCGCGCACGGTGCCGCCGCCGGCTCCGCCCCGCCCGCCGCCTCCGTGCGCTGCCCGCAGCGCCGCGGGCTGCCCCCGGGGATGCCCCGTCCCGGGGAACGTGGCCGCTCCCCCGCGGGAAGAGCGCCCTGTGCGGTCTCGGGRGCGCTGTGAACAACGCGCATCCCGCTGGCCTTTCCTCTCTCTATCCCTGCCCGTATTACCCTTTTCAGAAGCACTTAAAGGTTTACTTAATTCCACAGTTATTTATAACCGAGGGTTGGAGTGAAATAAGCTGCTTTGCGACTTCGCAATAGTCCGCCTGGGACTTATGAGTTACCGCTTCAACCACGGAATCGCTACGGCTGGAAAGGCCCTCCCAGGGGATCGAGCCCAAGCGCGAGCCCATGCCCACCAGGGCTGCTCAGGCAGGTCCCTCAGCGCCCCATCCCAGCGCTGCCAGAAACGGGAACCCCGCCGCTCCGTTTCCCCAACGGGAAACATCCCCCGGCGCGCAGGGCGGGCCACGCCCCCGGGCGGCTCCGCGCAGGCGCGGCCGCTCCGCGCGCGTCATCGCGCCGCGCGGCCTCGCACGTGGCGGCGGCGCATGGAGGGTGGCGGTGGCGGCGGCCGC